AATTATATATTATATTCATTTTAAAAATAATATAACAATGATGGCTGCCATATTAAGACGAAAGCACAGGACCGGCTCAAAAACTTTCAACAATCACATGTAAGACGCACGTTTTTTTAAGAACTTGTTTAAGGATACACTGCTTATTTTTAGAAATTATTAAAATATTTTTAATTTACCGGATAACACAGATATTAGATAAACAAACTTAAACAAAAAACTGAATAATTAAGGTCTAAAACACAAGAAAAGACAAGAAAAAAAGTCAAAGAACCCGACTCTGCACACTACTGCAGCGTTTGTTCTATCGATCGATAAAGAGAAGACATTTTTATGTCACTACTGTCATCTGTGCGGATTCCCTCTAGGGATACCAATATAATTTACATGACGATTTCGCACGGGTATAGTGATTGTCTTCGCAAAATAATATCGGTCAAACTATAGAGAGGTTTGACTCTTTTATATAAATTCAACAAAATGTGTATTTTCTTCATAATTTGCCATATTATTATTTAATAATATCTAATTTGTGTACGTGATTTATTAATACACGTAGTGGAAAATATTCCGCAACAAAAAAGATTATTAAAGCAATAAATAGTGATTTCTATGTTTCTCTTATGTTTTTTTTAAATATTGCATAGGTATATTTGAGGAGTTTGATATCTGTTGAACAAATAATGTCTGAAACTGTTTTGATGCGTTATTTTAAGATTTTTCGAATATTGTGTTGCAAATAAACTACACATTGTAAAATAAATTCTTCATGTCACGTTTTGACGTAGGTTTTTTCTGTCGACTATCAACACGATCTTTAGTATTTAGTCAATACATATATATTTTTTTTATAATTAATTAATTAGTATAATTTTTGGCATGGGATTCATACTGAATAAACGATTGAAGTCAGAAGTCATAGCTTTCGATCCAATTAGTCGAAGGATATGTAGAATCCGAATATAAGGTAGGTTTTTTAATTACAGCATTATCAATATCCATGCTCCCACTGAAGATAAAGAAGACGAGGAGAACGATATATTTTACGAGAAACTGGAAAGCACTTACAGAAAATGTCAAAACAACGACATAAAAATTATTATTGGTTTACAAAATGGTTTACGCCTGATTGAACTCGTAGCATCATTGGGAATGGTGGTAGTAAGTACATGTTTTCACAAAAATATCCACAAACCACATGGCAATCACCAGACGGTCAAACAAAAAACCAAATTGACCATGTACTAATTGATAGTCGACATTTCTCGGACGTACTAGATGTAAGAGCATGTAGAGGTGCTAATATAGACTCTGATCACTACCTTGTAAGAACAAAACTCAGGGCTCGTATATCAAACGCTAAGAAGGGCCAGAGCACACACTCTACGAAATATAATACTGATGTGCTAAAATCTAAAAACGCTAGGGATAACTACATAAAAATTTTAAATGAAGAGCTGACAAGAATCGTATATAGAGAAAGTAGATAAAGAATAGTATAGAAAAACACTGGACCAAATGCAAGGAAGCTATCCATACAACGGCTAAAGGCTTTTTAAAACCTAACCAGGCTAAAATAAACGAACATTGGTTTGACGAAGAATATAGATCTATTAACCAACAGAAAAATGAAGCATATAAGAGACTTCAACAGCGCAGAACGAGGTCAAACTTGAAGACTATGAAAATCTTAGACGAGAGAAAAAAAGGACGTTTATAAGGAAAAAGAAAGAGCTATACGAAAACGCTCTAAATGAGATTGTTAACCACCACAATAGAAAAGACTTTCTTTTTTCAAAAGACTTCAAACCCAGTCTTTTGAGTAACGGACCAGTTTTGCAAATTTCCAAGCCGGTTTATGATTTAGAACTCCACGCGGATGCCAGCAAATACGAATACGGAGCTTGTCTGATGCAAAAATCTTATCTGGATAATAAATGTCATCCGATATATTATATGAGTAAAAAGACGACACCAGCAGAGGAAAAATACTCTAGTTATGAATTGGAAGTATTAGCTATCATCCAAGCAGTAAAGAAGTTCCGTACTTATTTATTAGGTACTAAATTTAAAATAGTAACATATTGCCAAGACTTCCAGAAGACGATGGACAAAAAAGATCTAACTACTAGAGTAGCAAGATGTCGATTATCATCAATCAAGATGTCGACATCAATTCGATGTCGATACATCGAATGTCTCATGTTGATGCTCTTATCAGACATTGTGCTGTATTGTCAGAGGACGAGAAATAGAATGCGGAATTATCAAAATACTAAACATAGCGCAAGAAAAAGACTAATATATTCAATCAATTAAGAAAATATTCCAACGAGAATACGAATATAATGACTATTTCCTAAAGAATAATATTTTATATAAGTACGTAAACGGTAAAGAACTAATAGTTGTACCAGAGGCTATGCAAAATGAGATTTTAAGACGTTCACACGAAATAGGACATTTTGCAGTAACGAAGACGAAAGAGGTACTTGAAAGAGAGTTTCATGTCAAAAAGGCAAAAGAGAAGATCAAAATTATCATCACAAATTGCGTGAAGTGCATTTTAGGAAATAAGAAAAAGGGAAGGTTTTCTAAACCCATTACCGAAAGAGGGACCACTTGTCACTTACCATGTTGATCACTTAGGACCCCTTTTGTCAACAAATAAAAATTATAAACACATTTTGCTTATAATTGACGACTTTTCAAAATTTGTGTGGTTATATCCAACAAAGAGCACTACGACAAAAGAAGTATTAGATTGTTTAGCTAGACAGCAACAAATTTTTGGGAATCCTAGAAGAATAATAACGGACAAAGGATCGGGATTTACATCTAACGAATTCAAATTATATTGTCAGGAAGAAAATATTGAATGTCTTACCATTACTGCAGGAGTACCAAGAGGAAACGGTCAAGTTAAAAGAACAAATCGGATAATAATACCTATATTAACGAAGCTATCCATTGAAAACCCAACCAAATGGTATAAATGGTATAAACACTTAAGTAGAGTGCAACAAGCTTTGAATTCGACGTACCAGAGAACGATAGACTGCACACCATTTGACATATTCTTCTTCTTCTTCTGGTAGCACTACAACCCGGGGTGGGTCTTGGCTGATTGCACAACCTGCTTCCATCTCGAACGGTCGTCCATGATGTTTAAGTCAGTGGGTAGCCCCATTGTTCTCAAATCTGATCATATATTATCTCTCCATCGCATTCGTGGACGTCCTAAGGGCCTTCTCCCTGTCGGGACTTCTTCCCAGATTAACTTGGTAAGGCGGTTATTAGGGAGCCTATAAACATGGCCAGCCCATCTTAGACGTTGGGATTTAATCTCTTGGACTACGTCGCTAGCACTATACATTTGTTTGACCTCGGCATTTGTTCTCATTCGGTATTGGTTAGTATTCGGATCGTGATAGGGACCGAAGATCTTTCTGAGGATTTTTCTCTCAAAGCATCTGAGTTTACTTTCCATTGCTTTTGTCAGCGTCCACGTCTCACACCCATACATGAGCACCGGTCTAATTACTGTTTTATATATCCTGATTTTTGATGTTAGGCTCTTGGATTTAATAGTGTTGTGGAGGCTATACATACATCTGCTTGCTGCCTGAATTCTTCCTTTTATCTCTTTCGTGATATCGTTATCTGTGGTGATAGTCGCTCCGAGATATTTAAAACTCTCCACTCTTTCAAAGTTATAGGGGTCTATTGTTATATTTTGTCCTATTCTATCTCGTCTCTTTTGTCTGTTAATGCACATATATTTGGTTTTCTCTTCATTGACCCTTAGACCGGTATTTTTTGCCTCTCTCTCTAATTTATTGAAGGTTTCTTTTACATTGGTGACGGTATTTCCTACAATGTCAATGTCATCCGCGTATGCTAGTAGTAATTTTGGTCCATTTACTATCAGTAGTTCTGTTCTAATTTGTGCGGTTCTTACTACTTTTTCCAGGATTATATTAAAAAGAAGAGGTGACAGCGCGTCTCCTTGTTTCAGTCCACTGTTTATTTCAAACGACTCTGAGAGCTTGTTACCTATCCGCACTCTAGATCTACAGCCATTTACACAAACTTTAACGAGCTGGATAAGTTTTTTTGGAACTGAAAGTTCTGCCATTGCATTCCACATCTGATCCCTTTTAATGCTGTCGTATGCTTGTCGGAAATCTATGAAAAGATTATGAATGGTTCTATTGAATTCCCATTCTTTTTCAAGCAGCTGCCTGAGAGTAAAAATCTGATCTAGGTCGATCTATTTTTTCTGAATCCGGCATTTACGGCAATATTTGACATATTATTTGGAAAGAAAATGAGAAGTAACGAAGATGTAAAGATTCAAGAATTAATAGAAAAAGAAGTTATCGAAGAATTCTCTGAGCAAAGAGAAGAGATGCGAATTTAGGATAAGAAGCGCATTGCTAAAATTCAAGAAGAAAATAGAGTAGGTTATGACAGGAGAAGGAAAGAAGCTAGAAAATACAAAGAAGGAGAACTAGTCGCTATAAAGAGGACACAGTTTAGACCTGGTCTGAAATTAGATCAATTGGGCCTTATGAAGTTATCAAGGTGAAGAAAAATGATAGATACGATGTTATTAAGGTAGGGGTTCATGATGGTCCAAACAATACGTCTACTTGCGCCGAGTATATGAAGCCGTGGATCGATGGAGAATCGGAAGAATCCGGGACGGATTCTTGTCAGGAGGGCCGAGTGTAGATATTTTACAATTCATTAAAATATTAATAAATACTTTATACGTGCAGATATCCACACCCCACGTATGCTCTCATAACGATCATATCATGACGATTCAGACAGTCGAAATATATCACCAGCAGCATAAGACGTGTTTGTGCCTAATAACAAAAGCTAACCATAATTTATAAGAGTTAATCAATAAAAAAATACTAATTCACTATCACTATTCACTAAATAATAAAGTATCATTAAGACGAAGACGTATAGGTCTCAAGACGATATAAAAGCAAGACCTACATTATATTTATTTATTTTTTAGTTAATACATTTTAAATACACAGTACACATTATATACAACTCTTAATTCAGATTTTCTTCTATCCAGTCAATAAAAGTAGTAACTCTGCTGTAGACACCGGGATATCCCTTCTCAGCGCATCTATATCCATAGGAAACCACTCCAATTAGATAATATCTTATAAATTCACCATCAAACCTTCCCCAAATTAAAGGACCTCCCGAGTCTCCTTGACATGCGTCTTGGCGACCATCCGCCCGTCCTGCACAGAGAGTTCTTTCGTCAATCGTTGCTTTACTCCCAAAGGCTGCGCTGCATTTTTCGGTATCAACTACTGGAATCTGGGCTATTTGGAGAGCCGAACTTGAAGGTCCATCTAAAATGAATATATTTTTATATAGAAAAGTTGTAAAGGCTATGTCAGAGTTCAATATCTCGATACACTTATACAATTAGTGAAAGTCAATCTCTCGACAGCAGAGTGTATGGGTATAGAAGGAAATGTCAAGTACTTTCCAAGCAAAGGTAGGATTACTACATAGGTAGTTTCTCATGCCTTCTATTCAGCATTGCTCCGTAAGGTAATAGGAGTATTAATAATCGAAGTTACACATACATATACTAGCAACTACAGCAATATCATAACTAGAACAGAAACTAACTTAATCCAAGCTTTCAAGTTGCATTAGAAGTGCTAACGAAACAGGGAATGAATGAGATGGAACTCGCAAAAACTGAATAAAATAAGGAAAACGGTCCGGATCAATATTTAATGATTAGGTAGAGGAAAACTTAAGAAGATTAAAAATGCAAAACTGAAAAACAAAGATAAAAATTAGCGAAAACCAAGGATGTAATGGAAAATGATCCTGGAACAGATGAAGATCCATAATGGCTTGTAGAAACAATGATGATGGTGATGCTAAAATGTTGCGAAAATAAATGGTTCATATTAAAATTTCTAATGTAACAACTTACATATATCGTGTCGTTGGATCATAACATCCAGCGTTCAAATTTCAACATAACTTTACTTATTATGGACAATGTGTGACACAATCAACCAGGTGCAAATACAAATAAGAAAGTACATTTTGGAGAAAAATGGTGAAAATAAAAGTTCTCTTAAAAATAGATCTTAAAAAGTTCTTTAATTTTTGCATAAATGAATCTCGTATTTTTGCAGTAATTTAAAAATGTTAATACCTAACGTTGTTTTGCATAATGACATAGAAGTCCTTGAAATTATGGCAATTAATGAGTTATCGATGATGGTTACAGAAGATGGTTGAGGAACTAGATAGAAAAGCTACAGAGGTAGGTCTAGAGATGATCTATAGTAAAACCAAGACTATGACAAACCAAGAAGACCAATTAGAAATAGTAGTCAAACACAATAAATTAGAGCAGGTGGCAGAATACATATATCTAGGACAGATAATAAAGCTGAACAGGGACAATCAAACAGAAGAAATAAAAAGAAGAACTAGACTAGCATGGGCATCATTTGGTAAACTATCATATATTCTAAAAAATAAAAAGTTCCCTCAATATATGCGAACGGAAATATTCAACCAGTGAATTTTACCAGTTATCACATATGGCTCACAAACATGGACTTTCACAAAGGAGAACATCGACAGGATATCCAAAACACAAAGAACAATGGAAAGACAGATGTTGGGTATCGGTCTTAAAGACAGGAAAAGAAACTTATGGATCAGAGAAAAAACAAAGGTGAACGATGTATCAAGACAGGTTGCAAAACTTAAATGGAACTTCGCCGGTCACACTCTCCAGCAAAAAGATGAAAGATGGAATAAGCGAATTCTACACTGGAGACCATGGGAAAAGAAAAGAAAAAGAGGAACACTACAGATGAGATGGACTGACGATCTTAAGAGAACGGCAGGAAAGGACTGGATGCAGATCGCCCAAAACAGAGACCAATGGAGATTAACAGAGGAGGCCTATGCCCAAGAGTGGGCGTTTAAGGCTGATTAGATAGATAGATAGAATGAGTTATCGGCGTGTATTAAATCTCAGCTAGATCGACCAAATAGTTTGTAAGTTATTCAACTCGTTTATCCCGGAGAGCGATTATTTAAATAATTCTCCTGGTCCAAACAGTAACTCTAGAGGTATAGTGGATCACATTCGATTTTTTGAGGCTTTAATTATAAGATATATTTAACAAATCTCAACGTTTTATCAAAATTGTTATTAAAAAATCTTTTTAAAAAAGGGATGACTTTTTAGCTTATAAACATTTATAAATAACTGACAATTTTTATCACGCACTTGTAAGTAGGTGATTAGAATTGTGTGTGCTGGTAAATCTTGTTTCAGATTATAATGTAATGGAATAGCCCATCTCCGATGCGTGGCATGTGTCACAATTCTTAAAAGGATAAATCTAGAATACTCAAGAGTTGACATTTCAATAGCGACCATCTTCGATTCGCTTTCGATGAGGCGAATTAGAGGTGGACTGTAACGATGATTGAGGTAGTTAGTGGATAAGATATTTTCGTGCTGTCAAGTTATAAATAAATATATTGATATAAATTAGAACCAATCGTTTTATTTAATCTCGCTGCAGTTGGTGTCAGGTATGGGGTAATTGATTTATTTAAAAATAAATTGAGCAGTGACTTTTTAAAAAGATTGTTTGTCGGGAACATCCTCCTAGTTCGGTAGTGATCTTTGTAGGAAAAAATATTTAAAAAAGTACGTTTGTGCCTGACCAAAGATGCTGCTAGTAGAACTTTCATTAAAACAGTTGCGTGAGCAACTAGAAGAACGCGATGAAGACTGCAGCGTGTCGATAAAGATACTCCAAGAACGACTAAAGACTGTTCTTAACAAGACTGGAGACGACCCAGAGACATTCTAGTTAAGCCCATCTACAACAGGTCTACAAAGCACAAATAAGAAGTAGAATTCAACGAGCAACTAAGAATTTGCAAGAATTTGAAGCAGATGTTGCTCGTATAGCGCAAATGGCTTATCCATAGGTACCAGACAACATTTTGGAAGAAATCGCTGTAGACACCTTCGTCAATGGGTTGAAAGACAGTGAACTACAGAAAGCTTTACGACTAGTGAGACCGAAAGTTTTAGATGAAGCGTTTGCAATTGCCTTGGAACACGAGACAGCTAGTCAAGCTTCACGGAGCTACCGAGAATGAACCTCTGAAGAGAGCGACGAACAAAACGATAAACGTCTGTAGGAAATCGTATGAAAAGTAGGTCGTAACACTATGTCAAAGAGACGTGAATCCAGATGTTGGAATGATGACGACGTAGGTCACATTCGCCGTAAATTGCAAGAAAATAATACAACAGTCAGAAAGCTAGAACAGATCGAACAGTGGGCTGGAAAAAGTCATTCAAATGTTGATGCTCTTTCGAGATGACCGTGCAGTGAAAATTATAGTCACTGTCTAAATTAGAAGTACGACTTTGTACCGTGAAACGAACCACCGTCATTAATGTTCAATGGCAGCCCCAACAGCTGCAAGATGCTCAAGCAGATGATCCATGTATAGTAAGACCTTCTTCGCAAGACATTAGTGAATGTAGTCCCGAAGTCAAGTGTTACTGGAGCCAATGGAATTGCCTAGTGCTAAAAGATGATGTTCTGTATAAAACCTTTGAGAACGATGGTGGTGCAGAAACTAAGCTTCAGTTGATTGTACCTAAAAGTAAAGTGTCAGAAGTATTGTGTCAGTTGCATGACGGTGCATCAGGTGGACACTTTGGTATTACGAAGACTCTGCAAAAGGTTCGAGAACGGTTGTATTAGGTGAACTGTAAAGATGATGTAAGAAGATGGTGCTGGAAATGTGAACTGTGTGCAACCAGTAATGGTCCAGTTGGTAAAAAGAGGGTACCCAGGAAACAGTACAATGTTAGTAGTCCTATAGAAAGAGTAGCAATCGATATTGTTGGTCCACTTCCCGAGACGAATGATGGAAATAAAGATATCTTGGTAGCCATGGATTATTTTACGAAATGGACTGAGGCCTATGCGATACCAAATCAAGAAGCTGCTACTGTTGCAGAGGTACTTGTTAAATAATTCTTTAGCCGATTTGGTGTTCCCTTGGAGATCCATTCCGACCAAGGGCGAAACTTCGAGTCAACCCTTTTCCAAAACGTTTGTAAATTGATTGGTGTCAATAAGATTAGAACGACACACCTGCGTCCTCAATCAGACGAAATGGTCGAGAGGATGAACCGAACGATGGGTAAACACCTGTTCAAAGTTGTATCAGAACATCAAAGAGATTGGTAGCAGCACATTCATTTATTTCTAACAGCCTACTGCTCGGCCATGAATGAAACTACAGGCCAGACTCCAACCTGCCTGATGTTAGGTCGTGAAGTTAGTTTGCCCTGCGAGCTAGAGTTTAGCTGCAGGCCTTCCGAATAACATGTTGCAAGCGAAGATTATGTCGACCGCCTGAAGTTAAGAATGAACAACATTCATGAACTTGCCCGACAACACATCCAGTTAGCCAGTGACAGAATCAAAGATCAATATGATTCTCGATGCAAGAATGAAACCTATGAAGTAGGTGATCTTGTTTGGCTTTATAATCCACAACGTCGTCGTGGCTTGTCTCCTAAACTGCAAATACAATGGGAGGGTCCGTATGAAATTAAAAAGAGAATTAATGACGTAATATATAACAAGACAGTTCACATAAATCGTCTTGCACCTTATGCTGCCTCAAATGAAACAGAAGAAGCACGAACTTTTCAATATGAGATCAAAGATGATCACCGACCAAGCTTTAATGAATTTATGTCAAATTACGCAGAGAAAAAGAGTGTTAGATTCGGCATGACCACAGAATTTCAGCAGGATCTTTTTAGTGTTCCGCATAACGTCTCTCTAGCCCACTATGTTGTCCAAGATCTTAAGATGACTAAAGGAATCTCATCCGTATTTTATAAGAAGTTCGGTCGTTTGGACGAGTTAAAAATCAGCAGCCTAAAGTTAAAAATATTTGCTGTACGGCAGAGCAAGCTACGAGCATATATGGCGTGCTCTAACTAATTTGAAGAAAATCGTGTGCAATTATGACATCAAGAATTTGGCAAATATTTTTTTTTTTTTTTTTTTTTGTTTTTTTTTTATTAACATTTAAGATTTTTTACAATCTGTTTTGCAGTGAAAACAATAAGTAAAACTTTTTGTCTTTACATGACAGAGAGATGTAAGGTCCAGTGACCAAATCATCACGACACAAGTTGGCTTTTTTACCGGTAGGATGCGCACATACACTGATACGCGAGCACTAAAAGCGGCACTGATCACAATGTCTGGGTGCTGTTGAGGGCCTAACTCCCACTACTGTAGGCTCTGTCAGGATCGGTGAGGTATGTCCAAGGGGTCATGTCGCTTCAATCTCTTCGCTTGTTGGTTGTTGAGAAGGTTGTGTGCCAGGGTATTAGGATGCACCCGCAACCTGTTTTGGTATTGTTCAGAAGATTTTTTGCACTCTTCAGAGACTGTTAGTACCTGAAGATCTCTATGTATTGCATCATTCTGGATATACCAAGGTGCATTAGCGATTGTTCTCAGAGTTTTGGATTGAAATCTTTGTATTATCATAATATTAGATTTGCTAGCTGAACCCCAGAGCTGCGAGCCATATGTCCAAGTGGGTTTTATTATTGTATTGTATATCAGCAGCTTGTTGTCGATCGATAGGTGAGAGTTTTTTCCCAACATCCAGTAAAGTTTTCTGTATAAAATTCCCAATTGAAGCCTTTTCGTCCATATATGTTTGGTCCAAGTTAGACGTTTGTCAAGGTGAATACCTAAGTATTTTACGTCATGCTTTTGGGGCAAAGGATGTCCATTGAGGTTAACTTGTGGACATGTACCTCTTCTTAGAGTAAATGTAATTTGTGTGGATTTTGAGGGGTTTACTCTAATTCTCCAGAGTTTAAGCCATTCATTTGTTTTGTTCAGATGTAGTTGCAGTCTCTCTGATGCTATTATTGGGTTGCTATGAGAGGCCAAGAAAGCAGTATCATCTGCGAATGTTGCAAGCGTTAGGTTATTGCTTATTGGCAAGTCGGCTGTATATATCAGGTACAGAATCGGTCCGAGCACACTACCCTGAGGTACACCAGATAGGATGGGGTAGAGTTTTGTATGGGCTTCATTATATTTTACCAGGTATCTCCTTTCTGTAAGGTATGATTGAAGCAGTTTAAAGTAAGGGTAAGGTAAATTTTTCTTTAATTTGTACAGAAGTCCTGTATGCCACACCTTGTCAAAAGCTTGAGAGGCGTCTAAAAAGGCTGCAGTACAGTATTGCTTGTTCTCGAGACTACTTCTTATTGTTGTGTATAGTCTGTGAACTTGTTCGATTGTACCATGTTGGTTACGAAAACCAAATTGATGGTCAGGTATGAGACACTTTTCGTCCAATATTGGTTTGATTTTTCGTAGCAGAAGTTTTTCAAAGACCTTAGAGATGACTGGGAGTAGACTAATCGGTCGGTATGAGTTGACATCTTTTGGATCTTTACCAGGTTTTTGAATGAGTATAATCTGTGCCACTTTCCATTGCAGAGGAAAGTAATGCAGACTAAGCATAGCATTGAAGATCATAGTGATTGTTCTGTAGCAGTCATTGGTTAGTTCCTGAAGGATCTTACCCGTTATGAGGTCGAATCCCGGAGCCTTATTGGGTTGTATCTCATTCTTTATTATGTGTTTTACTTCTTTAATATTAAACTTGGTGATTGGTAGTTAGATACTCTGTTAGATATGTATTATCTACGAAAAATACTTACTATAATATGTGGATCCCCAGCCAGCAACTACAGCTGAAAATTTTACAAAAGTTTGCTTTCTGAAACTATCGTCAATTGGTAAACATACAGGCCATACCCAAGCTAGAAAACAAAATGTGTAAAGGTAAGTTTTTCTCATATTTATGTTAAAAATATAATTAAAAAGTAATACAAGCATTTTGTGACTACATGTACTGCGACTTCCACAATTATTTTAAACCTATTAGTAATATTTTAAGAGAACAAGTGAAAAGGTCTTTAACACGTTGATCGCCATAATGATAATATTTTTTGCCTTTTCCCAGGCCAATTAATTTTTCTCGTTTAAAACGCATACAAATACAGTACAACGCATTTCTTAAATATAGCAAAATTTCTTTCTAAACATGATTTTGAACTGCGAGGCACGGCTGCACGTGCCTCGCAAATTTACAAGAATGAACCTGCATATTGTTGCGGTATGGATCTAACCAGTGTATTATTTAGTTTAGTTCGCATCAACTTGTTATCGTAGTAAGAATATCGCAGTAAGAAAAATCGCAGAAAAATGGGTGATTATGAAAAAAATCAAAGTAAACTACAAAAACTAATGGATGATATGTTGTCAGATGAAGAGGTGTTTGAGTATTCATCGGAAAGTTATATCGCAAGTAGTTATTATTCAGATTCATCTAATTATTCTTCATCTCCTGTTCAAAAAAAGAAGAAAAAACAGGTACTCAACGTTTCTAATTATCCTAATAGTATAGATCAACCCAGTACATCATTTGCAGTACAAATCGAAAGCGCTGAACAAGAAAACAATGGTGAAAACATGGAAACTAATCCGATTAGCTGTCCTATGAATCTAATTGATAAAACGATTGAAAGTGGTATCAGAAACTTTGAGTGGGATAGTGATACAGCTGATGAAATATTTAGTGATTCTAGAGTGTTGAACTGGAATGAGGTAACCGGGGATAATTTGAAACATTTTACTGTTTTCGAGCAAGGGTTGAATATAAATGAAAATATCTCAGGTATGCATGATAACTAGCCTATTGATTTTTTTTACTGTTTGTGGATGAAGATATTATGAATTTGATGGTACAAGAAACCAATAAATACGCTTCGCAAAAAGCAGAAAGAACCAATTTACTTCAAGCTCGGATTCGACAATGGAAGGATACTACTACTGACGAATTGAAAATATTTTTGGGTATACAGATTTGGATGGGATTAGTACAGATGCCTAGTGTGACATCCTATTGGTGTAAGAATATCTTATATTCAAACGAAATAAAATCGTTAATGTCCAGAAACCAATTTGAGCTCCTCTTGAGCCACTGGCATTTTGCTGATAATCAAAGTACAGATACTTCACACAGATTTTACAAAATCAAACCCCTTCTAAATCATATCAGTCAAAAATTTCAAAACGCAGTAACCCCTTCACGTAATGTTTGCGTAGACGAAACCCTCGTGCCTTTCCGAGGACGTCTTAGTTTTCTACAATATATAAAAAACAAAAGACACAAGTTTGGGGTAAAAGTTTTCAAACTTTGTTTAGAATAAGGTTACACGTATGATTTCAAAATATATTGTAGAACAGAAAAAAATACTACTTCTGACAGCGTACCAACATCGATTGTTATGGGGCTTTGCAAAAATTTATTGGATAGTGGCCGAACCATATTTGTGGATAACTATTATACCAGTATCGAACTTGCTCACAAATTGCTGGACAGACAAAGTCATCTGGTCGGCACCTTAAGAAAAAATCGGAAGGGAATCCTGAAAGACATAGTACAAAAAAAATTAAAAAAAGGCGAAGTTATTGCCAAGGAAAGTGATTCTGGAGTGGTGATACTGAAGTGGTGTGATAAACGTGAAGTTTTGATGCTGATAACAAAACACAAAAATGAAATGGTTACTGTAAAGTCCAAAAATGGAACTGAAAAGGAAAAACCAACAGCTATTAGAGACTATAACCAAAACAAAAGTTTCATTGATCTCTCTGATCAACTAAAAGCCTACTCTTCTTGCCTCAGACGTAGCCTCAAGTGGTATCGCAAATTGGCAATAGAAATTCTTTTAGGTTTAACTATCGTAAACGCGTTTATACTATATAAACAGATTACTGGTAAAAATATCACAATTACCCAATTTAGAGAAGATATTGCCAAACACTTGCTAAATATAACCTCAAGAGAAAATCCTCCATTGGTAGAGAGCCATTACATTCAGGAAGTGAACACTACTAGTAGACGTAGATGCTCAAATTGCTGCAAGAACATGCCCGAACAACACGGTAGAAAATATGCCACGTCCAAGGCCACTATGTCGCATTATAAATGTATACAGTGAGATAAATTTTATTGTATACCTTGCTTTACTTCTGTTCAAATGTGCAAATTACGAGTATAAAGACTGCAAAATACTAATTTCTTAGGTTTTATTTTTTTATTTTGTTGTTGAAATATAAATTTTGTGTTTATAAATCTAAGCGAATATATTTTATTTTATATATTTTCAAATTTGGTCTGTTTATTTTTCAAATAAAATAATATTTTGCTGTCTGAATTCATTGATTTTGTATTTACCTAACAAACTACATTACAACACTAAAAAGAATAAAATACATAAAAAAAATATTATGATATGATATTGTCACATTCAACCCTTAACTAAATCGTAGATAATCGGGTCCAGGGCCGGGCCAACTAACTTATTTTTTTCATTGGGCCATCTACTTTTAATTCTCATAGCATTTCCACTCAAACGTGAAGCAATTCTGTGCAGCGCGGCTTGGAGTAAAGCATTACATGCGAGACATATGCGTGCGGCGCGGCCTGTTGTAAATACATTAGTGAGAGGCACACTTGCCGCACATGGCGATCAACGTGTTAAAAACCTGCCGAATTTAAATGAAAGTTGTTTTAATACTGAAACTACTTTTAGGTAAAAGTCCCAATTTATATTAAACCTAATATATGTTAAAATCAAAAACTGAAGTTTTTCTTGTATCAGAAAACTGTTCGAGTTAGAAAGAATTCTCTAGATACCGATTATTATTCTATTCAATTGTTGGGGACACTCCTCGTGTCTTTTCCACTTTTCTTTCCCTAGTAGTATTATTACGCCTATGCTCTGCATAGCGTATGGCACCAAAAGAAGATTAAAATTTTATCAAAAGTAACTATTATACATAGTATATTATTAGTCCATGCGATTATTTTGCAATATAGTAGTTACATATTTGTTAAGGTAAGCATCGCTTAGGCAACACTTTTTCCAGTAGTCGTACCAAAAATCTCACTGTATGATAAGCCAATTGTGGTAAGGTTTTCTGAAGATTTGCCAATTGAACATGGTATAGGTGTGCATTAGGGTAGAACTCAGTAGTTATTTTTCGAATATTATTTTCGCGGAGTGTGGAATTGATGCTCCTTCCATTTTCGAATGAAAAACTTAGACGCCATTTGTTCGTATTTTCAGTCTGTAAAGTGCTCCATAGTGATTGAAATTTTGGAATTTTCTAAAAAAAGATTATTTCATTATCATCTACGCGGAATACAGGATAGCTGCTTCGCTGAGATACTAATGAAAAACCTTTGAGACAATTTTCGTTATTTTTATTTTGACAACTACCCCAGCACTTTTGAAATTTTGATGATTTTATCAGTTTCCACTTTTCAAAAATTCGATAGAGTCAACGATACTGTTTTTTATTGATTCATTTCAGCTATTGGAACTATAATATGAAGAAAAAAGAAAAAAAATAGTTAGTATAAAATGAAAAATTATTCTTACAAATTGAAGAATAACATAAAAAATCACTGTGAACGATAGTCTTTCTTAGTATCAAGTTTAGGCATCAAAAGACATAATTTGAGCTTATTCTTAATAAATCCATCTCTCTTCTGTAGCCCACAGAGGGCGACACTTGCTTCTGTAACTAATTTAACACAGCTTCCAGTGTGTTAAAGTGACATGAATTTTTTTTAATAATTCTCAGGATTTTATTTTCCACAAGCTGTGACTCTAGCATGGCATGAGATAATATTTTAGTACGTGGATATTCTTTATACGTGGAGGTTCTGTCTTTTTACCTTTAAAGAATAACAAATGTATAATCATCATCATCATTATCATCATCCAGCCTTCGTTTATTACGTCCACTGCTGGACATAGGCCTCCCTTAAACTCCTCCATTCTTTGCGATTTTGTGCTTTTTGTTGCCAATTTTTCGTGATACGCCTGATGTCAGCCCAACGTGTAAGTGGTCTTCCTCTACTACGTTTGTCTGCTCTTGGCTTCCAATGTGTAATTTTACTCGTCCATCGCGAGTCATGCACAACATCAGCAATACTCGTCCTTTTTTCGCAGATCTTCGTTTCTTCTTTGGTCCCGCAACGTCACTACCAGCATAGATCGTTCCATTCGTCTCTGCGCCACTCTCAATTTTGAAGCCCACTTTGGAACATGCAAAGACCAATTGATTTAACATATATGTGGCTTCTCCTAAATTATCTGTGATAAGGACAATGTCATCTGCGAAACGGAGATGGTTAAGTCTTTCGCCGTCTATTGTTGCTCCTCTGTGGTCTCAATTGACTATCTTAAAGGCATACTCTAATGCCGTTATGAATACTTTCGGTGACAATGTATCTCCTTGCCTTATCCCACGTTTTATCTTTATTGGTCGAGTTTTATCGTGTATCTTAACAGTCATAGTGGCAGTTTTGTAAATATTGTAAATAAGTTCACTATACCTATGGTCAATCCTGCTATCATTCATTGCTTCTATAAGGCTGTCTATTTCGATCGTGTCGAACGCTTTATGAAAATCTATTAAAGTGAGGACAAGAGGTTTGTTGTATTCTGTAGATTTTTCAATGAGCGTCTTTACTATATGGAGGTGATCATTGGTACCATAATTTGATCGGAATCCTGCCTGCTCTCTCGGTTGGTGAAAATCTAATTTTCTCTTCAATCTTGATGTCACTAACCTAGTCAAGAGCTTGTATATGTGGTTCAACAGGCTAATAGGTCTATAATTCTCTAGGTCCGTTGTATCTCCTTTTTTTATGTAAAAGGATGGTTATAGCATTGTTCCATTC